CAAGTGCATCAGATTGAAACATTAATGCACCAAATCAATGATAAAACTACATTCAATAACATTATATATAGATACAGTTCATCTCAATGAAAAACAAAATTTATGGAGAATAGGAGATGCCACTCTTAACTGATCTCTTGTTTTGTAATAACCTAAAACCTATGAAAATAATTACTATTAATATTTAGAAGTAAACAAAGCTATTATGTTAATTTACACAAGTAACCATTGAATAGCAGAAGTCATCATCTAAGATGACTATTAAATGACTTACATTTAAGCCTAAAAACATTTTCTTCTTAATTTTTAATTAAGAGGAGATAAGGAAGTTAATTGAAAGTAAAATTTATTAACCAATCACTAAAGTAACATGCATGCAAACACCCTCTAGGCATGTTGAGCACCTCCGCACATTTGTCCAAGAATAAAACAATTGAACAATTTATAATATGTCACAATGTTGCATATGACTAAGGACATGAGTTTTATGCCCTACTTAACAACCGCACACGTGATAACATACAGTCCTAGTGGTAAAATGCCCTTATAAGACCTGGGCCTAATTGACAAGCATGTCCAAGGCCCATGGAATGAAATTTCTATATTTTCATTTTTCTGTAATTTATGGTTTTCTTTGTTTTTTGTTATTTTTCGTCAATTTTTATGATTTTCTACATTCTTTGTAAACTTTTTGCGTATTTCTTTGTTTTTTGTAATTTATATTATTTTCTTTGTTTTTCGTGTTTTTTATAATTGTTTTGCAATTTTTATTTTTTCTTTATTTTTATGTTATTTTCTATATTTATTTATATATTATGTATTTTTTATAGTTATATTTTTCTAGAATTTATGTACTATGTGAAAAATTAATGGGTTGGATAGGTTGGTTTGGGTTGAACCCAAAATGGGTCATTAGCGGGTTGATGGGACAAGTGGGTTTGGTTGAAGCTCAAACCAAACCTAATAACCTCACCTATCCAATTTCTTTTTAGAAAAGACAATTTTTTTTTTTTTTTGCCAACAACTATCATGCATCCTCATATAGAATTAGGATATGTCGGAATAACTAAAACACTAAGGGGTAGAATTAGTATGAAAAATCAGAGTCTTTTAACCACACTAATTGAATCATTTTGTAATTTATGTTTTTTCTTCAATTTTTATGATTTTCTATTTTTTTTTGTAAATTTTCTCTCCATTTCTTTGTTTTTGTAATTTATATTATTCTCTTCATTTTATGTGTTTTTTTCATAATGATTTTGCAATGACATATATATAATGGGAAAAAAAATAGAAAGTTGAGGGTAAAGTTTAAAAAGTAAAATCAGTGTGTTTTGACCAAACCAATTGCAACATTCTCATTTTTTTAGTATGGTATAGAAATTTTTATGATTTTCTATATTTTTTGTAATTTTTTTGTGCATTTCTTTGTTTTTTTGTAATTTATATTGTTTTCTTTATTTTAAGGACAAAAGGTGTGTAGGATAAGAGAGACGACATTTTTGCTTCCTCCTTCCTATTGCAAAGTAGGGAAAATGGATAAAATGTATATACTATGCAGAGAGGGGTTTAAAGGAAAGAATTGGGGTTTTAGAATTTATGTCTTCGCTTCATGTGTGAATGATGACATTTGGCCTTTTGCCTCCTGCAATTTTGTTTGTCAATGGTGGGGTCGTTATTTGCATATCTAATGGCTAGCATCAGGATATAGGTTGGTCCTGATTCATTTATATTCGGATTTGAATTTAACATCCATCCGATTTATAAAGAAGAGTCCAAATCTCCTACCAACAAAATGCATTCCAAACCCCTACAACCCTACCAAGTACAACCCCTACGAGGTATTACATTGGTAGGGTGTCAGATTATTGGATTGGCCCAATGATCGTTGAGTAAGAAAACACCCCAAACGAATCAATATAATGAACCTAAGAGCATTTCCTGATCCAATACAACTTATTATGTTAGCAGATACAATTGAAAAAAGAAAAAGAAAAAAACCAATAAAAAAAGTGCCATTTAATCATCTAATTTATTGTTCCATGATGAAAAGTGAGAGGTTGAAAAAATCCACTCCTCCTTTCAATTCAAATTCGTGGTTTGGGCAAACCGTCCGATACTTGACACGTGTTGGCTCTACTCAATGAAGAAGTTCATCAGGTAGGTGCTTCGGGAAAAGATTAGATAAGGCGAGGAATAGGTTCCACAACATTCTTATTATTATTTTATTTGTTTTATCCAATTACAAGTGTTAACTGTTAATTAAATAAAATTGAAAAATTAAAAAACATAACAAAGGGTAAAAATGAAAAGTGAAAATTAAGCTTTAAAAGAATAAATATGATAAATGGTAAAAATGAAAACTGAAAATTAAGTTTTTTGACAAAACAGTGCCATCATCCTCATGATACAAAGATTATCCAATTACAAGTGTTAACCATTAATTAAATATAATTGGAAAAATAAAAAACATAATAAAGGATAAAAATGAAAATCAAACTTTAAAATAAAAAACATGATAAAGAGTAAAACTGAAAGGTGAAAATTATGTTTTAAAATAAAAAATATAATAAAAGGTAAAAATGAAAAATCCTTATTTTTATAAATGGGGTGCAGATACAGACTTTGGGGGAACCGACATCTTAAAACATAATTTCAAAATTTGGGTCTCAAAAATGTATTCGGTTAAGGGTCGGGTCGGTATCATGTTAAACATCAAAGACTACATGTTATGAGTCAGGTTTGTATGAAGGCAAATTTGTACCGAAGACCCCGTTGACATTCCTAGCAATTCCTTTATCACACGAGGATATATAAGATGTGGTGAGGTTTAAAAGTTTTTTGCCTAGTTGCCCACTCATTTGAGTCCCCTAACTCTTAGGGTTGTAATCTGGTCAGATTTGGATCAAATCATATCATACCGAAATTCAATTCAACAATTAAGATTATAAATATGAATTTCATATAAAACGTGAAATATGGACTCGATCAAATTTGAATTAAATATGAATTTGCTTAATTGTCATTACAATAAAAACATTTTATAACTTTATTGTATTCAATTTTCAATGGGTCGGATGTATTTTTGACGTTCAGAGTCCATTGACAGCCCTATTAGCTCTACAATGACAATACATGCCCTCAAATCATTCTAAGTCATTTTCCTACACAGCCACAAGACTGGTTTTACCCTGTTTTGTGGCCATATTTCATTTTTAATAAATTAGGAGGTTCAACTATGCCACCGGAAAAACTTATAATTAATCAATCAATATCATAAAAGTGGTAGTCAATTATGGTTTATTCATAAAAACGAAAATCTATGCTACCATAAAGACATGATACTGGATTTGACCTATAAACCCCCTCCCTTGGATTTGGATAAATGGTTATCACTTTTATTATACCACTTGATTGGTTATAAATTATTCGGTAAGTTACATATAAGTACTTTGTACTTTGGGGTGGCCAGAAATAGATATCTTGAACTTTCAATTACAACACTTGAGTATCCTAAACTCTAAAAAATAGACACTTGGTTTCATCTATTAGTGTTCTGTCAATTAAACATTAAATAATGCTAAACCTACCCTTCCATCAGTGAAACTTATATGGTTTGCTTAATACCAACCACCTCTCCCATGATGACGTTCTCACATGGACAACATTTAAAAGGGACCATGCTGGTGTTTCAACACTATTTTTTTTTCCTGGCGATGGCATTCTTTGGTGATTTTACTTCACCAACAATTTTTTACCCTCACCAGCAAAGTGATTTTCATTGAACTCTTTTCTACTTATTTGCAAGGATTAGAATTCGACGAAAATCACTTTGCTGGTGAGGGTAGGAAATCACCGGTGAAATAAAATCATCCCCAGAGAATGCCATTGCCGAAAAAAATTAGTATTGAAACACCAACACAATCCCTTTTAAATGGTGTTGAAAATATGAATATGCTATTTGCTATCCATATGAGAACGTTGGGAGAAGCTGACTTCGCTAGTGAGGGTAGGAAATTGACGACGAAATAAAATTATCACCAGAGAATGTTGTCATCAGAAATATAATGGTGAAATGCCAACATAATCCCTTTTAAATGTTGTCCATGTGAGAACGTCATCTTGGAGAGAATAAGGTACCTATATGTAATTTATCCTAAATTTTTTCGATATTATAATTGAACCCTCATCAAAGTTCATAGGAGAGGCGGAGTTCAAAACTCTTCTGACATCATACCTTTCCAACATTATGTATTTACCTAAACTAGGGATATCCCGAAGGAAGAGGAAGAAAAAATAAAGGACAAAGGATTTACTAGTTGGGTTAATTAGGGTTCTCATTACATCAAACGTCTAATTTCTATAATGTGAGCTTTATTGTCTAAATTTGACATGGGCTATTAGAGAGCTCAAAATAGTGCATTTTATCCAACCCTAAAGATTATGATTGGCTCAAAAGTCAAATGGTCATATATAAGGAAAACTCTTAAAAACATGATATTAAATAATAAATGGATTGGCCTTATCATGAATGTATAACTTCTGTGAGGTATCATGTACTCTTTAGGAAAAATTTAAAATTCTACCTACCAAGAGGGATAAGACAAAGAAATCTCCTATCTCTTACATTTTCTTTTTGTGTTTTTCTTCCTTTTTATTGTTAAGGAAATAAATAGAAAATTCATAAGAGGTAATGTTACAATGTCACTGCATCTATATTGAAGCACGTAAGGTACTTTTCTAGACCACCCAATACTTGACACGTCGTAAGTTAGCATTGAGATTTTTTTTGAAAAGTTACAGTCCCACTATTTTGCTTCATGTGATATCTTCCACATCTTTCTGATTTTTCTTATTTTCATTATTTTAATATTAATAATATTTATTTTTTAACACCCCCTGAAACCGACCGTGGATATCAAATACAATATATCTATCATACGACGAGTCGACGACTCGGCCTCTGTTTCGTCGCTAGCAAACGTGCTTGGATCCAAAGCCACTCGTTTTATCTTGTTCTCTTCTTAATCTTTTAACATATAATAAATATAGTCGCAAACAGGAAACAGCAGAACTGGTGGGGAGCATAGCTGCATAGGAGACCAAAGTTCCCTTTGATCGAGCTCCATCCTGTCCCTTCTCCTTATCTTTTGCAGTACTCGTAATGGCTTCATGGTCTTCTTTAGTGGCGACACTTCCTCATACATGCTCATCGAGATTCAGAGATGATTCATCCTTTTCTTCTTCGAGGGCTCGTTTAGACCTCTTCATACCACGTATTCCTACTGTCAAATGCAGAAATGCACACCAATTCGATTCGAAAAGTCTGCCGGTCTCTCGCAGACAGAGGTAAGTTCGGCGTGGTTGAACCCTTGGCAATTAAAGATGTTAGAATTGGATTATAGTTCTCTTGTTTCGAGCTTATCTATGCATGAATCCGATTTTTCCTGTCATGGGCATTCGGGATTTAGGATGTTTATCAGTTTATGCGTTAATAATTAATCAACAATCATAGTAACCAGAGCTGTTTGTTTCAGACATGAATAAAGCTGTTGAAACGGGCAGCTCTTGAAATCCAATTTTCATTCCCCCCCCANCAAAAAAAAAAAAAAATAATAATAATAAATAAATAAAAAAAGAAAAAAACAAATCCCAACTTCCATAAACATTCACAAAACTAGACCAACCGTGTGTATTGCTTTGGCAATATTACATGTTCGTTATTTTTCGCGAATGCCTTTCTTTCTCCTGTTCCAATGTTAGATTCTGGTATCTGCACTCTTTTCTATTTTTCGTTGTTCAGGTTTGCTTAAGATTAGAAGAAATATGAACTCCACCATATTCGTGGATTTATTTTTACTAAATATTGATGAATACCTATTTGTTTGGTTCCAAACAAGTGGAGTAGTTTTTTTAATTCTTGCTTTTTAAACAATCCAGAGGAACTGCAAAAGAGATTGAAGCTTGCATCCAGATGATTGGCAAATACCACTGATGAAATGAAAATTCTATAAAACGGTTATAAGGTCAGCTATTGGCTACATGTCTAAAAAATGAATATGGCAGAAAATGCATATATTGTGATGGATTAATGGAAAAACTAGAGAGAAGAGGGTCAGAAATGAAGTCATTCGAAGGAATAGGAGTAGCTCCAATACGTGATAGAATGAGAGAAAGTAGATCAAGATGGTTTGTTCACGTGCATAGGAGACCATTGACAACACCAGTAAGAATAAGTGATCTGTTGCAAGTTGAAGGGGCTAGAAGGGCTAGGGGTAGACCAAAAAGGATCTAGGTTCCAGAGGACTTAAAAGTTTGGCTTGAAAGGAGTTTTGATCTGGAAGAAGTTAAGGAAACAATCTTCTCTATGGATAGAACTGAAGTACCAGGACTAGATGGGTTTACAATGGCTTTCTATCAAGACTGTTGGGACATATTAAAACAGGATCTTCAGAAGGTTTTTAATGAATTCTTTGAGAGGGAGGGGGTGATAAATCCGAGGATGAACTCTACTTTTATAGATGTGGTTCCAAAGGAGGGTGCTAATCACCCAAAGGAGTTCAGACCAATTAGCTTGGTAAATAGCTTAACAAAATCATTGCTAAGGTGCTTTCGAGAAGGTTGAGAGTTGTGCTCCCTTACATCACTTCACAAAATCAATGATCTTTTGTAAGAGATAGGCAAATAACCATAGTTTTCAAGGCGCCAAGGCGAAGCTAGGCAACAGGGAGGCGCCTTGTCGCCTAGTCGCCTAGGCGATGGATTTTTTTTTTTTTTTAAGTAAAACCATATATCCTAGGGTAGTTCCCTAGGTTCCATAACCATCTTTCCTTAATAATTATTCATAATTTTCATAAGACAAGTATAAATTTCATGTTTAAGTCTAGAAAATCAACATGTTATGAGAAGAAAAAGAACAAAGGAAAGAAAACTCAAAAAATATAGGGGCTGAACCCCTACTTTTGTTATAGGAAAGAAGAAAAGAAAAGGTGGAAGAAGAAGAAGAAAATGTGGAAGAAGAAAATGTATTGATTAGATAAAATTTTAAGTTCTTCCCTTGCTTATTGGTTCATGTTTTGAAAATTTTGAGGGTTCAATCAAGGATCGAAATTTCGATACGATACGCCCCTATTGGGTGTATTATATTGTATCTTTGGGGTCCCGATACCTGTTTACAGGTGTTTTCGGGGACCCATTTTTTTAAATAATATATATATATTTAAAAATGAAATTGAAAACCAAATAAATAAAAAAATAGGGGGATTATCGTTATAAGTACCGATACACCTCTGCCAATACACAAAGGTGTATCGATACTTTGAACCATGGGTTCAATATAGCAGCTAGCAATGTTTGCGTTGATTAAACCCTAACAAAATAAGAAAATAATAAAAAGAAATTAGTATATAAACACATAAAATGAATATTCTAGTTTAATAATGTCTATTTTATAATTATAATGTCAAAAAGTAAAAAATATAAAAGTATTTTATAACCTAGTGCACAAAACTGCTTGGCGACTGGACGAGGCGAGCCTCCAAGGTTGCCTTATCGCCTAGGCGTCGCCTTGACAACTATGCAAATAACTAACTGATCAGATTTTAATTGCCAGTGAGAATGTGGAGGACTTGAGAAGGAGTGGGAGGAAAGGTTTGGTGTGTAAGCTTGACTTGGAAAAGGCTTGTGATTTGGTGGACTGGTCTTTCTTGCTGCGGGTGATGGATAGCTTTGGATTTGGGCCAAAGTGGTGCAAGTGGATTCAGGGTTGTTTAGAGACTTGCCATTACTCTATTTTGATTAATGGGGTAGTGGTAGATCACTTCCCTGCAGTAAGAGGGATTAGACAAAGGGACCCCCTTTCTCCCTTCTTGTTCACCTTAATTGCTGAGGTCTTGGATAAATTGATAGCAAGGGTAGACTCTAGAAACCTGGTGAGAGGGCCAAGGGTGGGTAGAGATAGGGTTCCACACATCCATTTACAATTTTCTGATGATACTATACTGTTCTGTGAGGGTGAGGAGATTAGCTGGGTAAGGAACTTGAAGCTGGTGATTCAACTCTTTGAAAAAATGTCAAACCAATAATTTTGATAGAGTTATGTGGTGGGGGTCAAACCTAAAAAGTTCTCATGCAGCCGGCTGGACAAGGCCTACATGAGAACCCTAATCAATCTTGAACCTGGCTCTGATACCAACTTGACAGAAACCACAGATAATCTGATTTCTTTTTTAAATAAGAAAACAACAGAAAACGAGAAACAAGAAAGAAGAAGAGAAGAATAAAGAATGAGAAAAGGGGTGCAGGTTGTAATGTTCTGCTGTCCCAACTGATTGCTATTTATATAAAAAAAACCGGCACAGCTAGATAATGTCAGAAAAATAACATCAATAATAGATAAACAAATGGGACCACAAAATCCATTTATAAGAGCAAAAATATTTGCTGAAATCTCTTGGATCTCATTCAGGAAGTGGGCAAGTCCCCAAGGCCCACCCTCAAGCCTTGAAGCTCAACCAATAAACCAATAGTCTTATTCATGACAATAGTCTTATCAATCAATACTCTTCCTGTAAAATTCTAGTTAATTCAACCATAAAGCAACTCAAGCAAATATAGTGAAAAGGAGAAAACTCAAGTCAAACTCAACAAAGCCTTTAATCCCAAATATATGGGGTTGGCTACATGAATCTTGTTTTCCCTTTAGGTTCTTTCAAGGGCCACACCTTTCTCCCTAATAATTGAATACAGGTTCAATTGATCCAAATTGATTCTTGGTTTTTCTAGTTGGGGTTCATCTAATGAACCAGCTGTGGACCCAAAGACAGTCTTTTACATGTTAGTGCAAAGTGTTAGAATGCATGCATGGGTGCATGTGCTCTTCTGTATCTTTTTGTAAGATGTGTAGTAGACTGGTGATCAACAATTAATTTTGTACCTTTTTGTGGATCTAAGGTGTCTATATGGTGGAGGAAATGGAAGATCAGGAACTCATGAGAGAAGGAATGCCATGTGGAAGCAATATGTTTCCATTCTTGATGAACGAGTCTCTATGATACCTTCACAGGAACAGCAGAGGTGCATTTCTTGTTTCCAAAATCACCGCAGATATCAGCCCAGTGGTAAAAGATACATATCAAGAATCTTCCTTGACAAATCAGTATTTCCATTGTCAAATAAATCACTTGGAAACATCTCTGTAAGTAAGCTACTCTAAGTTTTTTATTGTTCGAATGACTTGTCCAAAAAGGAGAAAAAAAAAATACTAGATGATTTTGTGATATATATTGGTTCAGTGTGGGGACATTTTGTTCAGTTTAAAATTCTTCTCTAAACATATTAATCTTCTTTGTCCAATTATCTTTTGGTAAAATATTAAATCCTAGGATTACTATGGAAATGTGTTAGTTGCAAGAATCTTTTCTTAAATCAGTAGAGATATAATTCATGTTATAGATTTATTTTGATATGGGAATAGGAATGTTGTTTTAGAGTTGCAGTAGCGTACATAAGTTACATAATGAGTGTTTATAGTTTTCATCTCTTTTAACACATTAAGTATAAAGGGAAAAATCACACAGTTTTCATTAAGTTAGATGACTTATTTATAGTTACACTGGTATAACAAACTTGTACACATTGCCAAGTGGCCAGATAAGATTTGAGAACATTCGGTTGTTGGTTAACTAACTAAAATTCTAACACCTCCCTCAAGTTGGAGCATTTGTGAGACCCAACTTGGGAATGAGGTAGTGAAAGTGGTCAGAGATGACTTCTTTGGTGAAAAAAAATCAACGGGTTGAGAATTACTGGGTTATGTGAGAAGTAACAAGGTTGCTATGCTGAATGTGATCACACACAGTCAATTTCGATGTGTTTCATGCATTTGTGTTAAACAGGACTAGCTACAATGTGTAACGTGGCCTTGCTGTCACAGTGGGGATGCATGGGAGAAGAAAGTTGAGTGTTGAGATTAGATAAAGCATGTTTGAGCCATAACAACTCAGCAGCTGGAAGGGTGACATCAACTTGTGGATCCAAAGTCGGCGAGCCAGTGTTAGAGCAAGGACCAATAGGTCCATAGGACTCCCCAGTAAGTGAACCATCAATTGGTGGGATTGAAACAAGGGTGCCAATGTTAGATTGAGTAGGTGATTGGCATATGGTGGGCTGAGGTATGATGGGCTGCAAAATTATGGGCTGAGAAGTGGTAAGTGTAGGTTCAGGAACTGTGGGTTGAGCTGCTGCGAATCTAGGACAAGCTGTGGTAGGTGTAGGTTCTGGAACATTGGGTTGAGCTGCTGTGGGCCTAGGACAAGCTGTGGTAGGTGTAGGTTCAGGATAAGCTTTGGGTTGAGCTTCTGTGGGCCTAGGATAGGCCACATTGTTGATAGGAAGAGGTGGCAAGGGGACAACAGTGGTAGATGACTGTAATGGGCTAATGACTCAGGCAACTGTGATGGCAGAGCTGTGGTATGACATGGGAACTCATGCTCGTAAAAGGTGATGTCTCTGGACGTCAAGATATGTTGAGGTGCAAGGTCAAAAACTTGGTACCTTTTTTGGCTGTGAGGGTAGCCCACAAAAAGGCAGCATAAAGCTCTCTAGTAGCAAATTTATCCAATGGTTGTGGGTGCACTAGTGCATAGCAAAGGCATCTGAAAACATGTAAATGGTTGTAGGCAGGCTTCTTGTGAGAGAGAAGCTCATAGAGGGATTTACCAGATAGTAAAGGAGTTGGCAAGAAGTTAATAAGATAAGTTGTTGTTAGGAGACACTCTCCCCAAATGATATAAAGAAGGGAGGATTGGAACCGCAATCCACAGACTACTTCTGGCAAGTGGCAATGCTTCCTTTCAGCAACGCCGTTCTGCTGGGGGTATCAACATAAGATGTTTGATGTAGACTCCCTTTAGAAGCAAAGAAACATCGTACTGATCCTGATGAGAACTCAGAACCATTGTTTGAGTATACCTGCTTTACTTGACAATTAAATTGCTGATTTACCATTGCACTAAAAGCCATTGGAAAGTCACTTGTCGTTGATTTATTTTTAAGTAAGAAAGTCCATGTACATTGCGTATAATCATCTACTACAATAAGGAAGTAACAGACACCAGAATGTGACGAGGTTTTGTAACCACCCCAAATGTCATAGTGAATGAGAGAAAATACAGAAGAGCTGTGTAGTGCTGAAGGAAATGGAAACCTGGTTTGCTTGGCCTGGTGACAGGTGTCATAGCAAGAATTGAGCATGGAAGTAGATATGCGTGGTATGAGTGTCATGCAGTGTTGGGAGACATGGTCAAGGCCCTATGCCAGAGGTTAGGATTAGTAGTGGACATAGTTTTCAAGGCGCCAAGGTGAGGCTAGGCGACAGGGGGGCACCTTGTCGCCTAGTTGCCTAGGCGGGTGCCTAGGCGATGGATTTTT